GAGGTGATGAAGGGCGATGCCCGAAAACGTTTGTGTTTTTTACCATTAAAAGTTACGGCTACTCTACACTTTTGTTTTATGCGTTTTATTACTATATATAGGTTCCTTTTCTTTACCGTTTGAAATTTATGTATAAAGCATTACCGCCAGACGATTTAGAGTTGCTCTTCAAAAGAGCCGAACGTAATGATAAAAGGGTCGATGGTAGAATGGTAAATTCGCCGATCAAAAAAAGAGCCACAAAAGGCAGTAACGGCGTTCCATACTAGCCTAGTCTTGTCGGACACCCCTGTCGCAATTCTTCAAAACGGCTGGAAGGAGGCTAGATATAAACACTGGAAAATATATCACATGATAAACGGCACGTGATTCGTACCGTTTCCTTCGTTTGATTTTAGTACAGCATACACCCATTGTAAATACAAATATTACACTGCATTATGTTGCTACCACCAAGTTTCTTTGGAATTCTAACGCTTATTGTTTTGCTTCCATGCTTTGATTGTAAATTGTGTAATGAGAACCCTCCTACATCCTATTTGTGTACGTTTCAAAATGGATCGAAAATTGACCTCACTTCGCTAGGACTGAAAGACGAACCAGGGTAAGCCGGGAAACAGCCTAAGAAAAATGACAGCCTACAGTATGGCATATCAATGAGTCATACGTCTTTACTATTTGACTATGTACTGTATTTCTTTATTGATTATTAAAGCGTCCAGCTCATATTGCATCTATTATGCAATATGACTTTCAATTGGCAGTGGCGTAAACGCCGGGGTATTGAAGTAATGGGGCCCGGCGGAGTGCGTAAAATCTTATTCTTATCTTAGGCCCGTTGCGTATCAGTACCATATTACTGTATTAGAAAATAGAACAAGCTTCTCTATGAGTAGACAATGTCCATAAATATTGTATGACTATTCAACAATAATCAACTAATATTTTGCGCACACATTTTTAAATTATTTTTAATTGGAATATTTGCGTGCATCTATGGTGCAACCAAATAACAACTCCCTGGTGCGACGTATAAATTAAATAATAAATTGTATTTATTAAACAATTCAGTTCAAGACATTATTTTTATTACAGTATAATTCATCTCTTTTTATCAATATCAAACTATTATTGTTTAACTGTCAGTTTAACTTTATTGTATGCATAGTTTCACGGACAATTCAACAAAATATACGTACAAATACAATCCTCGTTACAACTTCACCATCGCCGATAGTGTCTGTAAAGATGCTGCAGTAAGTGTTTTTATTCAGAACCTTATCATCTTCAATAAAAAAAATTGTTCATTGTAGTATGTGAATGGTAAATAATGTGTATGATATAATGTGCAATGTTTGTGTTTTTTCAATTAAAAAAAAAATGAGCAAAACTTCCTTCATTTTTTCAGACTACTCCCATTAAAATTTTGGATTCAATTTTTGAAACTAGGCATGTCAGTTAGTGACCATTGATAAGATTGTCTCCAGCTACCTACTTGCTACACAAGAGGTTGATTCGTGGAGTGAATGCACAAGCATCTCTCAAGAAAAAGCAACTTGTATTAATTTTAAGAAAATAAAAACAACACCAGTCAGGTGAGACTATCATTATACAGTAAAATTAAAATACAGTTTAGTACGGTAGTATTTTTAATGACAGTGACGACAACTACGATGGAGAAGAAGATGACATTTTGAAATACAGTAAACTGTATTATTCAAACAGTTATTTGTCAAGTTCTTTTATAGGGCACTTGTTGGAAAATACTATAACTATAGGAGCCATTATTGCCTTAAAAAGTTGTCTAAAGCTCTTAGGGCAAGATTTTCTTATACCTTGTTTGGTAAACTTATTTTTGTAAAGATTGTAAGAGGAAGTCGGAGAAACATATTAAAATGTAATTTTTCTTAGCAAAATGGTGTTTGCAAAAGCATTTAAGCAGAAAAAACATATTATTGATGAATAAACAAATGGGAGTGTGCAAGGTAAAAAAAGCAATAAAGCCTGCGCTTTCCATGATCGTAAAGATTGTGATTACGATTTAATTGGATTGATAAATGCCGTTCATATAAGGAAGAAATACAGGTCACTTATTTTAGGGTGGAATAAAAAAAACTTTTTATTTCCATAATTTTGTGGTGGCGAGTACATTAATTGGCCAAGAATAACATTAAATTTTTTATATGAAATTGCAATTTTTCACTTTTTTATTTACTGAGTAGTTATGTTTGTATTGATAATGCTTAATATAAATAAATAAATAAAAGCCATGTGTTCTTGGTGCCCAAAGATTAATTAGAATCACTGATACAGCAAAGATTAAATTAAGTCTTTTACAAGCACTGTAGGATATATAATGTAAGCAATACCCTGGTAGTTGGTAGGCATATGTCCAAGCTATCCTTTTCGAATCTGTGGTTTCTAGCAATTAAGTTTGCCAGTCCTAGATGTTACATCTGTAAAGCATGTTACATCTGTAAAGCATACATTTAAACAGTAAATGTAAATGGTATTGAGAGAGTGGCTATCAATACAAACACAATGATAATGATTATACCTTATTTTCTATAGTATATCAAAATTAGCATTTTTCATATTTGTAATGCTGTCTTTCAGAAAAACTATTTTACAACTGATTTGTGATTTGGAAGGTGGAGATGAATTTAAATTTGAAAAAGAAAACGACGACCAAGGAAAGTTTACTTATGTGAGTTAAAGTTTGTATTAATAATAGTCATGCAGCTAACAAGACTAGTCAATTTAATTACAAAATAATATAATGTATATAAAAAAACAAAAATGAGGACTTATTTAGTTTTAACTGTGCATGAGAATGTCAAAGTTGAGTATGTAAAAGGTTAATATATACTACAAAAACAAATAATATAATGGATGTATTTATAATACACATTTATTGAAAATTTTATCAATAAAGATTGTCGTACTGTATATAAGCAATTGTTTGTTTATGTAACCGGTGACATGAAACATAGTTATGCACAATTCAAAGAACACAAAACCTTATTTTTAGTATTATATTTTAAAAATTATACTTTATATTTTCTATCTTTATAATATACTTCAGTACCATTTATCAACAAGTAAGTAGATTAAATGTAACTACAGTTATTTCACTCTAAATTCAAACCTAATTTACAAATATAAAAAATATAAATCTAATGAATTAGATACAGTAGTTTATCTATTGATACTTTGTTAATTTCTTTTTTTTAACAGTATTTGATTTTAAAATCTAAGTATGCATGTGCGACTACTAGTAGTAGTAGATTGAGTTTCGGATCAATCCTCTGTATTACGTGAGTATATGTCATACCCAAATATGGGCATATCACACAAAATTGTCACATACATGTAAAAGACAAGGGAGATACTACTGTAATACGAGAAACTCACATGGAAGGTGAGGGTGTGGAAGGGGTTCACTCTTTTAAGAGAAACACAGAGATTCACTTGAGGAGGGGTGAAACAAGTGGATCACTCATAAAGTACAAGATACTCTCATAGGATTGAGTTGACTAACAAGATACTTGCTTGGGGAGGAGACAAGCTTCACACAGAGACTCATAGGAAAGTTTCAATTTGTGAACCAATAGGGAAGAGTGGGGATAAATTTATATGAAAGTGATCATCAATCTCTTATAGAAGTTGGATTATTAATAAATATCATAGTTTCATAAAACTTTTGGTATTGAATTAAACAGCTGGAAAATCCAACAGTTGATCTCTGACAAAAATAATATATAATTAAATAGGCCTAATAATTTTATTTCAAAATCAAATCTTTTTGACAGGTTTTCTGTTCTTCTGATTGTATATGTGGTAGTAGGCATTCTTGTAAATCGTTTTGTTCGTGGTGCTAATGGACTCGAACTATTTCCAAACTATCAATTTTGGTCCGGTTTCCCATCACTTGTTAAGGTAAGGATATGTTTAACAAACTTCATTTCATAGTTTACAATTATATTGTAGGTTGTTTAAATAGTATCATCAATTCTGTATGTGCATTCTTTGTTAGTACAGTACATACTGATTCACATCTTTATCATAGAAAATTTAATTCTTAAATGTCATTTTAAAGGGTCATGGGTTTTATTTTATGCCATGTTTGTTTGTGTAAAAATATTCAGTCATGGGAGTTAGTATCTGTTTAATGTCTGAAGACTTTGACAGAATATAGATCTTTTGTCTAAGGGAGACATGTTGGAGAGTGGCTTTAATTGGCTATAATACCATAAAATATCACATAGAAGCCCTGGGCTTTTTTTTTTTTTTTTTTTTTTTTTGCAAATTTTGGATGGTCTTTTCAAGATTGGCTTCTTTTCGAGGCTACTTTACAAAGTAAAGAGTAGGCTTCTTTTCAAAATGAATGCTGTAATTTTGTTAATTATTACTATAAAACAATAAAAGGGCCACTGTAACATCACTCTCTATCACAGAGTGTATTTAACAGGCATTAAATCACCTATTTTTTGTTTTTTGAAATTCATGTACAATGTATGTACTGTACTCTCTGGAAAAGATGCCCATGCTATCTTGAAAAGAAGCCCATGGGTTTCTTTTCGAGTTGGGCTTCCTTTCGAGGCTACTTTTGCAAACTAAAGAGCATGGAGGGGGCTTAATTTGAGACAGGCTTCTCAAGATTAGACCCATTGGGCTTCTATTCAATTTGTTACATGGCATGTTTCTATATATGAAATGTAGTGCTCTGTATAAGAGTTATTAGTAGAATTGGTACAACATCAATAATGAACCTGGTAATTGCAATTGATTCTTGAACTCATTTGATTTGTAGGATGGCATATTGTTTTCCATCAAACCATGTAAAAAGGAATCAGATTACGATGCTATTTAATGTGTCATCTCATTTACAGTAAGTTCATCATGGTGATCATTACACATTATTGTGGTTCATTCATCCTTCAAATAATTATGTTGGTATCATTCATTTCAACTACAATCAAGTATAAAATATATACACTATCATGTATTTTTATCATAAATGTGAGCTGTCATGACAAAAAAGTCAAATTTGATATATTCAAGAAAATATATCTGAAGTGATATTTTGACAAAAATTGGGTTTCAATTTTTCTGATAAGTTTATATTTCATAGTAGTAATCATGTTTTTCAAGCACATTTTGTAAACCTATTTTTCAAAATTAATAGGAAAACCAACACAAAATTTATCAGTTGCTTATCTTTAGAGGCGATAATCTCTTAAGTATGTTTTTAAACATCTGAACTTTAAATATTCATCTATCTAAATATTATTAAATAACTCATTTTTCTTACCATTAGACTAATTTTGTCTCGACAGCTCACAAATGCAAATACAGTTTGCCCTCCAATCGAGACCACCTTTGGGACCCGAAAATTTAGGTTGGTTTTTAGTTCAGTCTCCTATCTATTAGGGAGTAGCTTGTGTTAAAATACTGAAGATTGTTATTTGGGTCTATGAAAGAGTGGTCTTTTGGATGCACTGTATTTGCATTTAAATATAAGTTAGCCTATGTATTGCCTTACAGCCAATCAAAATTATACAATTCAGAATGTTTGTATCACAAAAAATGAATGTTGTGGGCTTAAAAAAATATGACTTCATTGAAATGAAAATGTGTTTTTTTTTTGTAAATATTTTAATAAAATGGCAAAACCTGGCCAAAATATATCTGAGATCATGATTCGACCCTTTTTAAAGAACTCACTGTTTTGCAATAATATATTGAGTAATGAATTTGGTTTTTTGATGTTGTTGCTTTATTATATAACCATAACATTATATTCGTTTTTCTTTCCAGATAGGCCAATGTGCAAACGAATTCCTACAAAATTTAGATCTTCCAGAGTTAACTTTGCACCTTTGCACCTGTAAAAAAAAGACCTTCCAAAATTAAAGATTTTTATTCTTAATATATATATATATATATATTTAAACTATGAATTTTTGAAACCTAAGATGTTAATATCCTAGAAAACGTATATAAGATTGTGGCCTTAGATAGCAATTGTTTTATAGAAAGTTAAACTTTTTATTTTGATAAAACAGGGGTATTTGTGAATATTCATTTGTATTTACTAAAGTACTATTAATTAGTTTGTAGAGATTTTATGTTCATAACAAGTGCTTAATTTATGTTTATATTATTATCATCGTCACAGTGGTGTTGCTGTTTGTAGTTGTAAATCTACTAATATATTCCGAAATAGCATCCTCAGTTTCCATATAACATAAGTCTTCCATACAACACAAATTCTATATTTGTAGAGTTGTTTATTGGAGCATTTTCTCTATGATTGGAGCAACTCATATTGATGTAATATACAAATTCCAAATAAGTTTGAATTTGGTTTAGGCTGCATTCCGGCGAGAGGTACACAAGGTGTATCTTTATGCCATTCATTTTGTAAAAAAACTCAAGTTGCCTGGGTTATCTTACGCCAGATAACACTGTGTATAGGCTCTGGTTGCTCAGTTAGGCCTACTAATTAGAGTCCAGTTATGTTACATCTGGTGTAACTCTATGCTTGCGTAACTGAACCTAGTGTAACACTATGCTTGTAGGCATATACTTTTGATGTAAGTGTACATCCGATGTCCAAGGACCGTAAAGCTGTTTCACATGGTTTCTGAAAAGGGTCTTAAATTTATGTTGCAGTTCACTCAGCCCATGGAGGAATAAAATAGTTCATTCCTCCATGATCAGCTGAGAGCGTTTAATGTCTAAAATGCAAAACCCTGTTAGGGAATCCAAAGACGAATTCCTGACGACGCACTGGGAACCTGGCAATGTTATTTGTAGTGATTGTTTGTTCGCCGAGTTCACTGGCAGTCAACGAGAGGAAGGACAACCCATCCGACAGGATGCTAAAGTCCCCGCCCCACTCATGGTGCTGCCATTGGTTGTGAAAAGTCTAAATGTAGCCTTTAGCAGTGAAGTCTCAGGATATTTTTTACTCTGTGTAGTATAAAATGCAGTAGGGAAATGAAATGTTATTTTTTAGATTATAGTTTTAATAAAATATATATTGAGATACTAAAATAATGTCATTTTAACGTTGTTCTTGGGCTAACAACTAGTTTATAGTATACAAATATTGACTGCTTATGAGGGGAATGGTGAAATCTATTGCCCCTAGGCTATAGCCTATCTTCCTGAGGGCCGGACTACTATACTGGTGTTGGTGATGATGATGATGATGATGACGACGGATGGCGGCGATAAAAAAATTATTAATTAAATATATAATTACGACAATCAATCGAGAGGTTGTGAGAGACAGAAGCATATATGTCACATTGCTTGTGTATACTTTGCCAATCTTTTCCTTCATCATTCAGGTAGTAGCGAACATTTCTGGCCGATTTTGTATGCATGCAGCTTAAATATACCCACGAGGCTGTGGGGGAGGGACGACTGGTCCTATTACAAAAAAGTTACAAACTCTGGAAAACTTATAATAGAAACAGATGGTATTAGACAAGAAAAAAAAATCTGGAAATAAAATTCTGAAGTCGCAGGAAAAAAGTAGGGGAAAATAATTCGATTGCGTTAACAATAAAAATTAAATTACCAAGGGTTCGTATCCACATAAAATACCGGAAGATCACTTCCAGTAAGAACTCCATTAAAATACTGGAAATCAATTCCTTTCACTCCCATACTATAGCAACAATTTTTGCTGAGGCATGGTTAAGAGAAATGGATTCCATAAAATAAAAATTGAAAATGATCATTTAGCAACTCAAATCCAATTATAGGATCTGTGAGCAACTACGAGTACTACAAAGTAGTTCCACTACTTTTAATATAATCTCTTCAATCAATCAAGCATATAATAGTCAATAACAATTAATAATTAAATTAATAAAATCAATGTATTATTAATTTAAAGTATAATTAATCATATCGGCTATAATAAAAATACAATATAAACAATTCAAACAACAACTGATGAACAACTAATGTTGGAAGTAGTTGTATAGCTGTTTTAATCTAGACAATAATTTAGTAATAAGGCGAGACGTTTTCAATTCTTTGATTTGCGTACTTACTTTTTTTAAAGATCACCGGAGGAGGGTGGAATAAAAATAAAATTTTGTTTTATTATCTAGCAAATAGTTTTGACAAAAACATCCAGACAGAGGAGAAAATAAAAATTAAATTTTATTGGTGAATGTAAAATGGAATGGTTAAATGCTTCAAATTTATAAAAATCAATTAATTTAATCGATTTCGAAGGAAAATCTGACAACAATAATTGGAATTTGAAAAACAAACATTTTCACAGTGGATTTGGCCATACCATGGAGGAATTAGTTTTAATTCAAACTAATTCCTCCATGGTCATGCTAGAATCTTTAGTTTTTTTTTTATTCAAGATGAGTTTTGAAAAAAAATGTGTAGGCCTATGTGTAGGTCTATATTAATTGAAAGTAGTAGGCCTAATAGCTGTTGCAATCGAAACCAGATATTGACATTATTTTCCCATCGATAATAAAAGTAGGTCCTGTATACAGTAGATAACTTGACAACATATTGGCATGGGCGTCGACCGGTGGGGACAGGGGGACACCTCCCCCCCCCCCACTTTTCACCAATCTTCTATAATTAAAACCCCACTTTTAAAAGCGGTACGTGTTTTGCGGACCAAAACCGAGTAAAAACGCAATTGTTTATACGTTTCGTAACCATCTCAGAAACCACGAGATCGATTTTATGGGTGCAACGGTTATCAAGAGGCTAAATTTATTGTGAAAACAATGTACTGAACGTTGTTAAAATTGGAAGCGTGTATACTTATTATTAGGCCATGCCAATATTTTTACAAACTCAAAAGTGCACAATTTCTACTATAAACGAGTTATTCCTTTTGTATATTATTATGACCCGTACGTATATACTAATGTTTAATATTATCTACATACATAGATAATATTAAACACTAGTATATACGTACGTTTAATATTATCTACATACATAGGATTACTCTTTTTCCTAATTTCAAAAAATTATATTTAGGAAATTAAATTTTATATAGCAATTATTAAATAATAATTATCAGCCTTTGACATGTCTATCTCTTTCAATTTAGTGATACCAAAAGTTTACAAACTCCAATGTTACGTTGACGCAATCTCTCAATGACGTCATAATAATCAGTGGCGGGTTCAAGTGGGGCCGAGTCGACCCCAAATTTTTCAAAATTATTTTTAATAAATGGAAAAAACCAAGGAAAATTATAATTAGAATTTAGGTCTGAGAGTGCCATTTCCGGCAATCTAGACGTGTCATAATCATAAATGTTCTTTCCTCAGCCCCAACCATGGTGGGGCCGAGGTGATCTGCTCTCCCAAATTGTGCAAGTCCCTCCCTGTCCCCCCTCTATTTTGCTTTCCTGGAGCCGCCACTGATAGTGATAAATTAAATAAATCACCTTTATTTATGTTTGTGCAATCAAAATGCTAACTAATGTTTTGTGTGTCTCCCTAGTCCTGTTTGATCGTAAATTGGACGGTATTATATTTCCACTCACAAATAGTGTAGTCGCAATATACCCACGCAAAAATGAAATTCAAAAAGAGGAGAAAAGCAAAAACCTCTGGATTGATTTTAAAACTACAGTACATGCAAAAAGACTAAATGCCTGTTTTAAGTTTACCCTTTTTTTTTTTTTCATGGTTCGAATTTTTCAATACGTCACAAGCTAATCAGTAGATAGTACGGTAATCATTATTTTTTAAGAATGTTAGTTTGCACGAAATATATAAGCGGGCATAATTATGACTAAAAGGATAATTTTAAAACTTGTTTATGATGATTATTTGTGGCAGATTCAAGGGGCCCAGCCGGCCTACCATCCCTATTTTTTTTTTTTTTTTCGAAATTTAAAAGTGGAGAAAAATTAAAATTATATGGTGGTCTACACTCTCCATCTGTAAAAGTCCCTCTCTGGGCCCAGCTCTATTTCAAATTACTGGATCCGCCACTGGATATTTTGAAAATTTCGTATGGAAATATATGTTAATTGCATTGCTTAAAATCAATTAAAAGGCTATAGGCGCCAGAGCTTTTGGGTGCTTCTCCAACCAAGGCTTGGGCCTACGGCCCAAGGCTTTATTTTTCATTTCGTTTCCCCCCCCCCCCAACTTTCAACAACCATGGATCGACATAAGCGAGCATATTTATAATTACCAGGATAATTTGAAAAACTTTGTTATGATGAGTATTTCGGTCGCAGATTTAAGGGGCCCAGCTGGCCCACCCTCCCTAAATTTTTTTCAAAAAAAAGTGGAGAAAAATGTAAATTTATATTCAAATTTAGTCTAAAAGTGCCAAATCCGGCCAACTAGAGGTGCCATATTCATATTTTTTTTTTACCTCAGCCCACCCATAGTGGGGCTGAGGTGGTCTACTCTCTCCATCTCTAAAAGTCCCTCCCGGGCCCAGCTCTATTTAAAATTCTTGGATCCCACACTGTATTTTGAAAATGTTGTTTCCTTAAAAGAAATCAGATACGACTTAAAAGGCTATAGCAAGAGCTTCCGGGGGATTCACCCCTGGACCCTCACATTGGTTCTAGGCAGCCCCCCTGAACCCCAACCAAGGCTTGGCCTAAGGCCTTCTTATTTTGCATTTCGTCACCCCCCCCCCCCCAACTTTCAACCATGGATCGACGCCCTTGCATATTGGAGCCATTGGGTTGAGGGACATTAACCCTTGAGAAAAGCCGTAGCACTTTCCCATATCCTTTCCCTGTCGTCCCAATGATTGTGAAGATGCGATAAAGTCTGTTGGTGATTTTATACGGATTAAAATTTAAATCAAAGAAATACGGAAATACACTCCCTGATACAAGGAAGCGTAATATTTCGGACAAAATTCACAGTACTGTACCAATTATTTGCGAAAACCTAGGCTTATTCTCTGCCTGAGTGAGCAATTTCAATAGTTTGTAAACACATAATAAGATGAATAATTTGTTCAGCTAGTCTAGTTTTCAAATGTTAACGACAATAACACAATGTCGATCGTTCTTTCTTCTCTGTGAACTAGTGTTTTAATTGGGCGACAAAATGAAACTGCAAGATCCAAGCTAAGACCATATAAGTCCATGGCAATTTGAAAGGGAACATTGATGTGGATAAGTGTAAGGTAAATATGATTTTCTTTTTCTACACTTGAGCAAAAAAGACGGGTTATATGGAGTGGTGGCTCAGACATTTTGTCCAAGAGGAAAGTCCGAATAAATTGAGGCCGACTAGAGCCGGTCACGGTCTCGGAATACCCTGGTAGGGAGGGTTCTACAATATCACGACCGTTTTGCTTTGTTCACATGCCATTTACAGCGACAAAAAGAACACAATTATGATATCTGTTAATGTTGGTGCTGTCCCGCCCCAGACGGAAGTTCCCTCCATCATTCTACAGACAGCAGACTTGAGATTTTGTAAGTACTGTACAATAGGCCCTACTGTTGGGCCATATGCTTAATTCCCCCTCCCATAGTAGCACCGCCACTGGTTGGTTGGTTGACTGATTGATTGATTGATTGATTGATTGATTGATTGAGTTTGGTTGAGAGCAGCCTAGCTCCGTGGAGATCTCTAGGTCCCCGGTTCAATTCACATCGCTGCTCTCCTTGTTAGACTAGGAAAAAATCAAAAAAGAGGCCTAGAAATCAAGTGGGGGGAGTGGAATGTTAGAAGCAGTCAACATAGCCAGATACCCTAATTAATCCGCCCTGGTCACCCTAAGCCCTGTTGACACTTGATTTTTCACCTGGTATACAAATGGCGGCCATTTTTCAAAATGGCCGCCAAATTTATCTAAAATGTGCATATAATTGGAACTAAATAAGCTACAGATATGATGTTGGTGTCTAAAATCAGAATTTCTATACATGCAACAAACCAGACATATAAAAACTACTGTCACTCATGCCAGATAGGAACATAATTCAAAAATAGGTGTTTATTTGTTTTAAAATATCCGAAAAATATACTTAAAATGTGTATAAAATAAGAATAAGTATATAAACTCACCAAAAAGTAGTCGTGTTTGGTATCGTTGGAAAGCTCTTCCGATGCTGAATAATGTATTGCAGTTTATATATCAGAAACGGTGTAGTGTTTCATTGTCCCATAAAGTCCAATTATGGCATATCATATTAAAATAAACAGGACCCATTTGCGTAACTCGTGAGCTCTCGGATGGCGGGGGAGGGGGTCCAAGTCCGGGGTCCATGTCCGAATCCAAATGCGCCCTGGAGAAGGTTAGATACTTTTACTTACAGTAACACTGATACTCAGCACTCTCCTACAACGCCTTAACAATACGTAACATTTTCTATAATTTCCGAAAAAACCAAATAGACCAAAATCCCACAAACACAATATTTGGCAGATTTATTAGAAGGGGTTCTTTAAACTATGCCCCTGGATGCCCCACTATGGAGGTTTGACCAGTTATGTAATGCCTGTGTGCTAGTGCAATAAACAAAAAACAATGTACACCTTTTATGGTTTTATTGTATTCAGAAGTCGACTGTGGTTCGATGAACTGATTGATGAATGATTATTGTTTGTTAATTCATGAAATATTACTATTGATATATTCCAATTTCAATATGGTATAATTAGTTTTTCATAGCATTCTGCACATCTTGGATTGTAATAATGAGCCATAAAGAAATAAGAGTGCCAATCCGATTATTGATGAACTGTAATCATGTACCGGTATGTGTTTATGTAAGTGTATGCATCTATATGCATGTGCGCGTGTATGTACGTATATATATACATATACGTATATATGTATATATATATATATATATATATATTATGAATTATATCACGGTACATTGGAGAGATGAACCGTCAGATACGTTGATTTGAAAGAAACAAAAAATTAAGGGAAAAAAGTAAAAAATATTTAAGCAAGTTTGTATTAATATTCAAATTTTTTGATTCGAAATATTATAATGAAAATAATGTTAAACTACGAAATACATTATTATTATTCAATGGCCTTTATTACCAGTATGTCATTATTTCATGTGTAGAAAAAAAGAAAAAAAAATGTTATTAAACTAAGAAAAGAGAAATGAAATAAAAGTGGGTGCAACTCCCACAAAAGAGAAAAAAAATGCCTGTGTGCTTTCTAGGGAAACGCTTACTTCCTCCATGTCCAAATGAGTCCCTGAAAGGCGATGGGCCCTACTTACTACTACCGAGCAATCTAATAATACAACCGCTTTTGACAAAATATTTTCTTTTAATTTTTTAAAAAATGTATGAGCCCCGGACGGCTGCACAACTACCCACCTTAAAGTCCGCCTCCCACTTTAAACATGTCAGTAAATAAAGAATAAAATACATGGTTATCCCTCATAGTAGGCCTAATATTAAATATTATACACAGCATGTTGAAATCGATTAAAATAATGTATACATTAAAGGTAAATAATTCAGATATTCGGATGATAAACGCCTGCAACATTATCAATTGGACCTTACAGGACGATCGGGTCATTTTATTCAGATTGGCCTTATCATGTTTCAGAGCAACATGTTTTTTGGTATTAAAGTAACACTTTATTAAAAACAATCCATGAATTTTGTTACTCAAACGTCTTTATATTGATATTTTCAAGCATATTAGATGACCTGAAGAAAAAGTGATCCAGAAGTCGTAGGCTTACTGTACAATATATTATGGCGAAAGTAAATTTTGGTCCGTCTCTGAATTTTAATAGTGTTACTGTAATAGAGCCTATTATTAAATTTTGGAATGGTACCTTATAGATTTATAACCAGGTAGCAGAGCAGCTTAGCTCAGTTGCCTAAACTGGCGGTAGCCTCTGTGTGCGCTAAACGTGGGGATCTCTAGGTCTCCGATTCAAATAAAATCAAATCATTGTTTATTCATCACTCAAAATGGGTTGAATTTTACAAAAGTAAAGGGTTCAAGCAGAAAAATCTAAACAATCAACGTTTAAACATTTTTTTTCAACAAATAGACCCACATCACAATAACAGCAAAAGGAAACAAGGTTTAAAGGGCAAAAAGGCAACCAATATTAAAATTATTATATATAATATATAATTAATGCTTGCGGTACACCACGTAGATAGTTCTGAAAAGAACTGTTGTTGTTGGTTGAGAATATCTCGACGTTTCGGTTGACTTGCTTCAACCGTCTTCAGGAGAATAATATCTGCAGAGATCTCAAACAGGGAAATACTTATATGTTTGAGTGATGAGACTTGCTGCTGATTGGCGGCCACCAAATCTTTCCCTCTACACTGGAAACTATGCCATTGTTTTTGGCTTTCCTTCCCCCAGCTAGAACAATGCCACTGTCTTGGCTTTCCAGCCACGCCCCGCCCTTCTATTCAGACCGTGAATTTTAGCTTTTGTATAGCTTTTCACTGGTAGGCTCAGCCTTTGTTTAGTTTTCAACCAATCAGCAGCAAGTCTCATCACTCAAACATATAAGTATTTCCCTGTTTGAGATCTCTGCAGATATTATTCTCCTGAAGACGGTTGAAGCAAGTCAACCGAAACGTCGAGAGATTATAGTTATTTTAATTACTGACTTAAAATGAACAAAGCATTCGCCTGTACAGGGAGTCCTTTACAGCCTTTTGGAGGATAAATTCTTTAAGTTTTCTAAGATGGAAATTGGAAGGAGCTTTAGGAATGAGGTAGTGGATTGAATTCCCATCACTGCTCTTCCTTGTATTTCAGTTGGAGGGCTGAAATGCAAGTTACGATAGCGCACTGTCTTTCGGATGAGACATTTAACCTGTTGGTGCCGTGTGCATTATGGCCTGAGTGCACGTAAAGAACGCAGTATACTAATTGGAAATGAGTAGGAAATTGTTTCCCGATGTACAGTGAGTGTTTTCTTGTGGATGAAATATGGGTATATAGAACGACTAGGAAAAAGGTGTGATATCGAAATTCCAAAAGAAGAAACATGTTATAAAGATATCCTGTTTTCTTTCCTGTATTTCTTATGTAAAACCGGATTTAAACTTTCAAAACGTTTCTACAATGTGTATTTAGGCTTCATCAATACGGTATGGCGAATGCATCAACAGTCAATCAGTCAATTGATTGAATAATGCTTTTGTATCATCGGCACACCTTTTTAGTGTAACCTTACAATGACTAGACAATAATGAATTGATATAGAGAAAACACACACAAAAAAAATATGTTCTCTCTTATAAAGTATAATGAA